ATACAGCCGCTTAAAACTGGAAAGTGCTTTTCCTGAAACTATCGCAACAGTGCCCTAAAATTGAAACTTTATTTTCTTCGCCATCATAAGCATGTGGATCAAAATTTTTTCACCACTAAATCGGCCACTGAATACTGTCTATGTGACATTATCTGAATTTCCAAAAATCTCACTTTCGTTTTTTCGCCTAATTTCCATGTGGTTGCCCACTGTGTAAACTTCGAAATTAAGTGAAGTATATTATTTCAGCTTAGTGGATGACAATATGGATCTTTTAATAATGAAAAGCAGATTCGATATCGATCACGTGTTGAATGGCTGTTATTTTATTTAAAAAGTAAAGAAAATAAATGTGAATTGACAGGATCGTGTCTTTGAGTTAATTAAACCAAGCACATTTTTGGAAGATGCTAAATTCAGAATTAAGAATAAAGAATATTGTCAAGAACGAATCGCTTTGCGATCTTCAGAAACTTGCGGTAGAACTCGACTTTGTCGTAACCAGACTTAACTTATCCTTTCAATACCGCTTTGTAATCTCCAAGTATCGTAGAACAATAATACTTCTCGAAGGATATGCTGATTTGCAAAAACTGAGAGCGATGTTAAATACTGATAGAGGAAGAGATCTGTTACAGGATAACTTGTTGCAATGAATGCTTAGATAGATGTGAAAGAGGCAAGAAAAAAATGACCAACTTAACTTCTTAGAAAATCGCTGTCGAATTTCAGGAATCTTGGGATTTATTTATTCTATCTGAAAAATCGACTCTACTTTTTAGAAATTCTTTATTGAGGTTCTGACAAATGAGAAATGTCAGCTCATAGAAAATCGAGTGGATTTTCTATAACGTAGAAAATCGACATTCTTCACACTCAACAGTCAGAAAATCGCTGAGGATGTTATAAAAGTTGAAAAATCTTTGGCGATTTTCGAGATCGATTTTATATAGTATAAAAAGTAATTCCAAATTACAGTGTATGCTGAAAATCTGTTCAAATTGTGAATTTCGTCCACTCATGCGAGAACTCAACACAGCTAACAGGAAAAGCGTTGGTAAATAAAATGTATTGTGCAATAAAAAGAAATGTTGTTGTAGAATAGACTTGGAGCACCAAACACAATTAGAACAAAAATCTCGGAAGTGTAGTAATACAAGACATTGAACGGAAAAGAAATCAATATTAGAACGCATTTATTTAACAAGGCTTTCTAAAGCAAATAAAACTATCATATCGGAACTTTGGTGGAACCAGTGAAGATATTCTGAGTAGCTCAGGTTGTAGAGAATTTTACGGGCTATCTAATGCTGTGTTTAGTTTGCCATTTCAGTGTAAGATAGTTGAGGAAAATCTGTTGTACTCATCATATGGTGGCTTTTTAATGGTGCTTATTGAGATGCTATTGTTCAGGAATTAACCGGGTTTTACCTAACAAAAGTATCTGATTTTACCGAAAACGGAATAGAGGCACTTTTTTTACTACATATGGATCCATTTTTAGTCAAAAAAGAGAATGGGCCGATTCATAACCTTATACGACCCCCTCCTTTGATATTTTAGTCTGTTTTGATCATAACTTGATAATTCGATATCTCAGTTCACAAGAGCCATGCACCTAAATCCTTCTAGACTTTTTCACTACTCAGTAGGACCTATCGAATGGCAATGGTCCAGAGCGAAAAGCGAATTAACACCTAAAGAGATTCCCTCGTAAGTCGAACAGTTAGTAGAGCAGCTACACTGCCATCTATTATTGACGATATTTTTATGACATGTCTAATATGTCCCCATGTAGTCAAAATCGTTCATAAATTGACTATTTTTTAGCGCTTACTCAGCCGATTTATCGTGCACCTAATCGTCAATAAATCGATGAATTTTTAGTTTAACAGTCAGCTGAGCTCCTCGGCTCAAATCGAAACAATGAGTCAGCCCTGGGGAAACTACAGAGAACATCCTTGGCAAACTCCGTTTTAAGCTAAACTAAAAAGACAATCTGAATAACAAAAAACCATTTAATAGCTTAAAATTAACAATTAATCGGAATTAATTGGCCAATATTAAAAAAACTAAAAAATCACCAGGATCTTTAAGAATGGCGATATATCGGTGTTTTTTTAACAACGGGCGAGTTTTCATGCAAGCCGATTAGTCGCCAGTTGCTAAAAATCGCCGATATCGCAGTTTATGGACGATTATAGTCCAAATTGCGAATAATTGGCAGTTTTATTGCTAGTCGCAAGTAATCGTTCAGAATGGAGCGATTTTAACGACATGGGTCTGAACCTGGTCAGAACATACATTAACACTGGAACTATATCGTCGATTACTCATTTGGTTGCAGAACATATATATGAATGAGCCAGTAATTGCTAGAACATCGTGTCCGTTACAGTGGTGAAAAACCAATAAAGAACGATATCTAAACACCGCTATACTGACACAGAAATTGCTTTGTGGTTCTGCTGTGAGTGTTCTATCAGAGTGAACTTTTATACATAGAATGCAAAAGAGACAGACTTAGGTTCTATATTTTGAAATCAAGGCTTAAAATCCAGTTGAAAAACTTTTGATCCGGTTCATTTTTTGAATGATTGAAACTAAGTGACGACTGATGAAAATTAGTGAAAACTAAAAGTATTTTCATCTTCAAACACTTGCCTCCATTTGAAAATATTTTAGAATTAGCTAAACATCGTCTAATGTAGAGAAAAGTGTGGGCCACAACATGAGAACGCTTTAGGTACACATAAATTTTCTTTTTCTGTATTTTATCTTTGATACACATTTGGGGTCAACCGAATTTTTGACAACGAAGTGCAAAGAGAGAAGTACCGATAACACTTTCAGCAGTTTTTAAACAAAAAAGCTCTAAGTGTTAGGGTTCTTGACACAATTCTTCCGCTTTTGAGCAAAACCACTCTTACACGAATTGAAACATGATGACAACGTGAGAGTGAGTGTGACAAGAATTGCATTTGCAGAAGAGTCCTTGTACTGACAACGTCTAGGCGATGTATACGAACGTTTTTCCGATGTTCGGTACAAAATAAAGTCTTTGATTAGACTACTTCGCATGATCTAACTTACAATTTTTAAAAAGTTTTAAAATTTTCAACCGGCAGAATAGAAAATGTTTTGTCTTACTACAAGAGAAAAAAATTCTAAAAGGGACAGAAGAGGTGTGACGCTTCATTAGTCCTCTTCCCAAACTTTCAACATCAGAAAAGAAAGAAATATACAGACATCAAATAGCTTCCACAGAAATAAAATGACGCTAAAATACGACGTATCTTATGACAGTAGATGCACTGCCGTTTGTTTCATCAATCTTTATTTATATGTAACTATAAAAAGAATATAAAAACATGTAGTTTATTATTCCTTTTCCAAAGGCTGTCCGTCCCATAAAACATATTTTCAATGATCAAATTTTGTAACACGTCATTCATTTTGTGCCGACGGTTCATCTTCCTGTTGTTGACCTGAAATGAACAATACTTCAACTTGCTCTTCAATGAAAAGTGTCGCTTATCGAAATATAAAGGATCTGTTCCGTATGTTCTCCAATAAAAAAGAATATTACTACAGTGGACCGGTATACATTACGCGACAGACATTTTCGGTCGTACCATGACAGTAAAAGATTGCCATAAAATATTTTCTATCAAAATAGAGTTCATGATAAAAGAAAGATGAAAAGTCAAATTCCTTCAGTTCATAGGAAAGAGCAAAACACAATCCGAAACCTTTTTCAAAGCCCGGTCGATTGACAATTAACGAACAGATTGCGGAACGTGGAACATGATGTCCGTTAGGATTTTATATTTCACTTATTTTCATTCCTTGACTTTCCAAGATCAGCCTCATGCATATCGAGAACACGAAAAATGGATTGTTATCTTATACTCTTTTCTTCGGTAATTCACTTTTTCATTCTATTCAGTGAAGATCTCTATAATCCTATCATTTATATCATTCTTTTTTCTGACAATTTTTTCTTACCCGCACCACCTTCTCCTAAATTGCCTTGCTTATGTTGCTGACCTGAAATAAACAATACTTCAACTTGATCTGCAATCAAAAGTTTTGTTTCTCGAAATATAAAGAATTTGTTTCGCATGTTCACCGATATCAAAGAATATTACTAGGCTGGATTGAAATATATTACGCGAGAGGCATTATCAGTGGTACCACGGAGATAAAGGAATGACATAAGGTCAGCAGCTTCTATTCCCAACTCAAAACAGGCATTTCGTATTGGCGATATCTCAGTGTATAACTTCGAAACCTTATTCAAAGGCCAATCCATTAACAATTAAAGTACAGATAGGGGAACACTGTAAGATGATTTCCGTTAGCATTTTATATTTGACTTATTTCCATTCGCTGCGGATGAAAAATCTTTAAATCTCAGCACATGCGAACTCGAAAATGGATTGTTAGCTTATGACACGGTTGTATCATATGGGATTATGCCATTGGATGGCATCGCTTTCCATATATTCTGTCATTCTAGACGGAACGAACAGCGGCAAAATATCAAGCAACGGCTGAACTGAACTGAACGGCAGGACTGCATTAGACACAGTTGTGTAATAAAGGAACAGTCAGGGCTGGGCGAATGCGTGGGAGGGTGGCTAGTCATGAAGCAAGTTAACTGACTTCGAGTCGGAGTTGTTGAGATGCAATCCGATACCTTTTTCAAATTTTTGCTTGTCGTAGGTTCCAAAAAGAAACGAGCGCAGTGGTTTTTTCTTCAGTGAGAGTTTTACACTATTAAATGGTCAGTCTCTTGTGTCGTTCGATCAAAATTTTGGACTCAAGACTCTACATTCCTACTGTCACCAGGTTTATAAAATAGTTGTTGTCATGTAGAATTACGTTTCTCATTCTATTGAGTGAAGATCTTTATAATCCCACCATACTATATCATTCCCTTTTGCTCATAATTTTTCCTTACCTGCACCACCTTCTCCTAAATTGCCTTGCTTATGTTGTTGACCTGAAATAAAAAATATTTCAACATGATCTGCGATCTAAAACTTTCACCTCTCGAAATGTCATGTCCATTGAGAATTGAGCAACCGATGGAGGAAGTCGTAAGAAGGTTTCCGCTAACATTTTGTTTTTCACTCTTTTCATTCACTGACTTTTCACTAGCTCCACATTCCTACTCGAGCTGTCATCAGGTATGAAAATAGTTCTTGACATGCAGAATTATGTTTCTCATTCTATTGAGTGAAGATCTCAATAATCCCACCATATTATATCACTCTTTTTAGCTGACACTTTTTCCTTACCCGCACCACCTTCTCCTAAATTGCCTTGCTTATGTTGTTGACCTGAAATAAACAATACTTCAACCTGAGCGAGTTGAATCGATCAGACATAAAATGCAAAAACGCAAGCTCGAATGCGAGACCTTCAGAAAGATTTCCAGTCGAAGTCTGAGTCCACATAAAAATGTTTCAGTCCGAACTCGCCCGATCTGCCACCACTTCATTACTACACTATTGTTCGCCTAAGTTTTGATAGGAACTGGCTCCGCTCAGAATAACAAATAAATAATTTTAGGGTCTCGATAGTTTGTGGAAAGACCTTATTAAGTTCGCTTATATATTCTCTCTCAGCACTCCTTTTATATCTGCAAATTATGCGGTATAATTGTTCTCCGATAAGAGTTTTACACTTCTATAACTCTATCATTTTATATTACTCTTTTTTTCTGACAATTTTTTCTTACCTGCACCACCTTCTCCTAAATTGCCTTGAAATAAACAATACTTCAACTTTAGCGGCCGGCAATCAAAAGTTTTGCTTCTCGAAATACGGAGGATCTGTTTTGTATCTTCACCGATATAAAAGAATATTACTATGGTGGACCGATATATATTACGCAATGGACGTTACTAGTGGTACCACGTAAAGGAATGGCAGAAGATCAGCGGCATCTATCCCCCAGCGCAATATTTGAGGCATTTTGGTAGATCGATCTCTCAGTGTACCACCTGAGAAATGAACTTCTACCACAAAAAGGGTCGCACCTTACTTTTGTTTGAGGCATTGCGCCTCAAATGTCCCACGGGATAGACGCCCTGCGTCAGATATTTTCTGTCAAAAGTAGCTCGTGATAAAAGTAAATGACTGCGTCACATTCATTTGACTTATAGGAAAGACAAAAGACTGCCCCATATGCGGGGAGAAAAATTTAGAATTCCTTTTCAAAGACCAATGTACTCAGAAGTATTTTATGTTTTATTTATTTTTATTCGCCGACTTTCCACCATGGGTCTCAAGGATGCAGGGAACACGAAAAATGGATTGTTGGCTTATTACACGATTGTATCAGATAGGATTCTGCCACCGTATGGTATTGGTTTCCAAAAAATTCTGTGATTCTAGGCCGACCGAGCAACGGTATAGTAGCGAACCATAAGACGGCAGGACTCCATCAGATACAATCGTTTGATAAACCGATAGTCGCGGCTGAGGGAGTGTCGGAGAGAACGCCTGTTCCACGCCAAATCCAAGTCATGAAGTAAGCGAATCGAATTCGAGTCCTTGAAATGCAGTCGCGAGTCCAATATCTGAGTTGATTTGGAGTACAAGTATTTTTTCAAACGTGTTTCGTCGTTGTTGCTGAAGCTCCTTTTTGTCTCCTTCAAAAACATCTCCAGTCCGGACTCGACCAGCCTCCCACGAGTTCACTATTATAGTATTGTTCGCCTAAGTTTCGACAGACACTTGCTTCGCTCAGGATAACAAATAAATAGATATGTCGAAAGAAACGAATATTTCCCTTCGGTTTCTCTTAGACCTTGGACTAAATTGCCGTCTTTTCTTATCCGCATCTAGCCCAAAATGTTCTGGAGAAAATGGTGAAAGTTGGAACTCTCTACCATTTTTCTTTATAAGTGTGTTCCAAAAACAACCTGCCGTGCTGCCTTTTTTCTCATAAAAGTTTTACATTTCTGCACGGTCAGTCTCTTGTGTCGTTCGATCAAAATTTTGGACTCAAGACTCTACATTCCTACTGTCACCAGGTTTATAAAATAGTTGTTGTCATGTAGAATTACGTTTCTCATTCTATTGAGTGAAGATCTTTATAATCCCACCATACTATATCATTCCCTTTTGCTCATAATTTTTCCTTACCTGCACCACCTTCTCCTAAATTGCCTTGCTTATGTTGTTGACCTGAAATAAAAAATATTTCAACATGATCTGCGATCTAAAACTTTCACCTCTCGAAATGTCATGTCCATTGAGAATTGAGCAACCGATGGAGGAAGTCGTAAGAAGGTTTCCGCTAACATTTTGTTTTTCACTCTTTTCATTCACTGACTTTTCACTAGCTCCACATTCCTACTCGAGCTGTCATCAGGTATGAAAATAGTTCTTGACATGCAGAATTATGTTTCTCATTCTATTGAGTGAAGATCTCAATAATCCCACCATATTATATCACTCTTTTTAGCTGACACTTTTTCCTTACCCGCACCACCTTCTCCTAAATTGCCTTGCTTATGTTGTTGACCTGAAATAAACAATACTTCAACCTGAGCGACAATCAAACGTTTTGCTTCTATAAATATAAATGATCTGTTCCACATATTCAGTAATACAGTAGTCTCGTTTTTCAAAGGTCAGTCCATTAAAAATTAAACAACAGATGCCGGAAGTGGCAAGATGCTTTCCAGTAGCATTTTGTATCCACTTTTCATTCGCTAACTTTTCAAAATGAGTCTCAAGCATATTGAGAACTCGAAAAATGGATTGTTACCTTAGTGCATAGAAGAATAACCAAGTTCATGGGATGTACAATTCCGTTTTTTATTCTAATGGGTGGTCTAGATTAAATAACCGATTTTTGATAGGCTTTTTTCTCCAGTTAAATTTGGCCAGAAAGTTTGGTTCTGATACGGACCGAGAAAGAATTTTGTGCAGATTGTATTGATATGTTCTTTTTTTAAATAAGCATGTACCGTTGTAACATTAAAAGTATCGGATGCCACAAAGATAACACTTGCTCAAGTACAAAATCGAAACGTGTAAAAGTGGATTTTGGCCAGCTAGATTGAATTAAAAAATTCCTTTCTTGTAGTAAGAAATGTAGAATTTTTCGGTGTTTCTCGTTCTGTGTTGGGTTGATCAGCTTAGTTACTTCTCCTTCGAAAACTACAAAACACCAAACGACGTTCACGAGCCATTTCTTGAGCAATTTTCTCATAACTTGGCTTTATAAAAATTATCCTTTTTTTTTTTATTGAAACAAATGCAGAACTTAAAGTTCTACAAGATGCTCTTCTTCATAAAAGCTGACCTCATTTCTAACCGAATGATGAAGCTGGAATGTTTTCGTTGCCATGAAAGTGCGCCAAAAATAGATAATTAGGCGGGCATATTTTCAAGGTGGTTCTCAACATAGAAAAACTCAGTTCGAAAATTTGGTTTTGTGTATCGAAAACAAATACGTTTCTGTACTTCTTCATAGTGTATATGAATACCGTATACAAAATTACTTAGCAAATAAAAATGACATTTTATTCCAGTCAGGTACTGAGCAAATGATGTTTTTACGGCATCGGCAACGTTTAATGATACAACGGTACATGCTTATTTAGAAAAGAACATATCAATAAGTCTATACAAAAGTATCTGTCTCTTGGCACCAGAACCAAACTTTCTGGTCAAGTATAACCTGAGAAAAAAGTTTATCAAAATTCGGCAATTTAATCTGGACCACCCGTTATTGAGTGGAGATCCCTACAAACAATCATTCTAGGATTAGTGATATCATTCCTTTTTCCTCGCACGTTTTCCTTACCCGCACCACCTTCTCCTAAATTGCCTTGCTTATGTTGTTGACCTGAAATAAACAATACTTCAACCTGAGCGACAATCAAACGTTTTGCTTCTATAAATATAAATGATCTGTTCCACATATTCAGTAATACAGTAGTCTCGTTTTTCAAAGGTCAGTCCATTAAAAATTAAACAACAGATGCCGGAAGTGGCAAGATGCTTTCCAGTAGCATTTTGTATCCACTTTTCATTCGCTAACTTTTCAAAATGAGTCTCAAGCATATTGAGAACTCGAAAAATGGATTGTTACCTTAGTGCATAGAAGAATAACCAAGTTCATGGGGTGTACAATTCTGTTTTTCATGCTGTAGAACGAAGATCTTTAATCCTATTAGTTTAGGATTATAGATTTTCTTTTTTGCTCACAATTTTTCCTTACCTGCACCACCTTCTCCTAAATTGCCTTGCTTATGTTGTTGACCTGAAATAAACAATACTTCAACTTTAGCGGTAATCAAAAATTTTACTTCACGAAATTTAAAGAATTTGTTCCGTGTGTTCACCGATATAAAACTATACAACTATGGTGGATCAATATATATTACGCAATGGACCTTATACATCGTAGTACGTGATAAATGTGTGACGTAAGATATTTTCCATCAAAAACTAGCTCGTGATGAAAGTAAGAGAGAACGTCAATTTCCTTCAGTTCAAAGGAAAGAGCAAAAACATTCCGAAACCTTTTTCAAATGCTACTGGATTGAGAATTAAAGAACAGATGGTAGAACATTGTAAGATGTTTTCCACTTAGCGTTGTATATTTCACTTATTTTCATTCGCTGATTTTTCACCATGGGAAGGTTTAATTAGTATGTTCTCTGTAGTTCGGACTACGCTCTTGCCGATGAAAAATCTTTAAGTCTTAAGCACATCGGGCACACGGGAAAAGGATTGTTAATTTACACTGTAAAAAATAAAGCGTGCCTGGGGCACACTGAGCTTGGACTTTTTTTGCACACTGAACATGGCTTGTTCAGTGTGCTTGTAAAACACTGGAATTGCACATATAGCTTGCATAGACAGAACGAGAAAAAGGACCGAAGAAAAGAATAATTCTTCCGTTTTTTTTCCATAGAGAAACGCTAGATAAAAATTTACATTACACAGTGACAATTTGCACATAATTTTGGACTCGAAATGCACACTTTGGGGAATACACACTAGCGAGCACACTTTATTTTTTACAGTGTATTGCACGAGTGTATGAGATGGGATTCTACCGTTGTATGGCATCGCTTTCCATATATCCTGTGGTCCCAGGCGGAGCGAACAGTGGTAAAATAGCGATACCATACAGAAATTGACTTCGCTCCGGATAATAAGTAAATAGCTTCAGTGTCCCGATACTTTGTGCAAAGATCTTGACAAGCTTTCCTGTATTTCATCTCTTAGCACTCTTTTATACCTAACAATTATGTGGTGTACTTCCTGCTACCAACATTATCTTTACCGTTCATTCTACATTTTAAACATAAAAGAAAATGAAAAATAGATATGTCGAAAGAAATTAATACTTTTCTTCGGTTACTCTTAGACCTTCATGAACAAATTTCGGTCTTTTCGTACCCCATCTAGCCTAAAAATTTCTCTGAAAAATGGCGATGTTTGAGGAAAACTGGTCTTACCGGCACCATCTTCTCCTACATTGGTGGCTGTATCGCTGTGCGATTCTGTGTTTGAAGTCGTGGACATGTTTTGTTAAAATTATAGTTTGTTTGAATGGATCAGAGAAGTTTACCTGTAGTCTTTATTAATAAGATAAAGAGAAGTTTATTTTGGGTACGTTATCAAGAGTGTCAATAAGAATGAAGGACGGATACACAAGTATCGTCCTTCACAACAGTTTGTTCGTCTAATAGCACGCCTGTTTCCCTGTGCAGAAACAATAAAGGACAAATAAAATGACATATTTGTAGGGCAGGGCGTACCAGATTCAAATTTCCCACACCAATTTATTTTTGGCTTAATTATTTAGCTTTAAAAAATTGGTTCACACATCATTCAACTCGGTTTCCGGCTGATTCCGAATATAGGACCTTTATTGAATAAAAACTGAGTTCTGGTGGAGAAAATTGAGAACTGCGGACACAATTCCGATTTTTTCGCTTCAGAGAAGAAAAACATTTTTTAAAAAATAATTAAAATTTTTTTTTAGAAAAAGTGGAATTTATCACCTGTGCAGAGGAATTTCGAAAAACGCAGAACGTACTTTTAAAACTCATTTAATGGCGGTTCTAAGGGGCTTCAACTCTTCATACAAAAACTAGATAGGTTGGCAAAATTGCTTAGGAATTTTTTACAGGGGAAGTCAAAGACCTCCATAATGGATAGATCTTTGGCTTCAACCTCGACCAAGCATCATTCTCATACTTAGTTTTTAGTTTTGCTGAAGCTGCAAAAATACTTTTCAAAAGTTAAAAGAATGAGAAAGTGAAACCAAAGGGTTTTTCGAAATTTTAATGCTTTAAAATTTAATCTAGTTGCTTCCAGGTTTGATGGTCGGTATGTGGTAGCATGCCAATAGTTTTGGCAAAAGTAATTGTATCCTTGTATCCGTAGAGATTATTTTTGGGTTTCTCTTTTCAAAAGGTTTGAAAAAAAGTAATAGAAAATAGATGTTACAAATAAGTTTATTGCATGAAGCAGTATTTGTGTAATTTCAGAAACCAGAACATCTACGTTTAACGACCTTTTGGAGATGCAAGAAACGTGTTCTAGCATGTCTAATCAATGGTTACTGGACTGAGTGAAATAAAATCGCTTCCTTAAGAGAGTTCTTAGCCACCTTAGTGGAGCTGCTTGTAACCAAAATTTTGACTTCTCGAATTTTTTCAGTAAGATCTTGGTAAGAAAATGTAAGAATTCAAGAAATTTCAAGAAATCAGGATCTTGAACATTGTATTTTTATGGACTTGTACACAGATCTTGGGGATGATCGTTTTGTTGTACGCTCTTGTGTAAATATAAGTGCGAATATTTTCACACTTAAAGATCTTGGATGAAGATTCAATCCAAGTTCTTGACTTCCTGATGTTTTTTTCAAAATCTTGTGACATTTCTTAACCCAGGTTCTTGAGTACTAGAAGTTCCACTGGAGCAGTCAGTAGTCATTTGTCTTTTACTCACAATGGGTCTGGAGCGTTGCTGTTCTTATAATAAGTGTTTTATAATCAGAGAAGTTTATTATAATAAAAATCAGGTCGGTGCAGTTCAAAGTATATCCTCGCAAACTGGTTTATGCTGTAACTACGGAGACATGCAAGAATACTAGCTGTCTCAGTTAGAAGGAAATGCGAGACATAGGAGCCGAATGTTAGCGGTTAACCAAAGCATCCACAAAATTTCTATCCATAAACGCTACAATCGCAGCAAAATTTCGAAATTTCACGTGATGATTTATGTATGCCCTAGTTTGATCAATCTTTTCTTATTTTTTTCTTATTGGTCGCCCTAACCCAGGACAGACAGCCCTACCGTAGGATCCTAGAAGATCTTACAAGATCCTTTAGAGTCCTGTAAATTCCTACGAAAATCTTGTAGGATTTTGTAGCAGAATCTCAAAGCCAAAAAATCCTACAAAATTCTGTTGTAAAATTCGTATAGGATCCTGTAGTCAGATCTTGTAGAATCTTGCAAGATCCTACAGGAGCCTATTGTAGGATTGCAGTAGAATTTTATCTAATTTTCTGCAGGTATATCGTACTAGACTTATTGTTTTTATATAATAATATTCTCTGCTCCCAGATAGCCTAGATCAGGTGATTCTGAGCTGAATAAGCCTAAGAGGACTCACACGTCGTTAAATAGTAGTGAATTTTGATGGCTCGCAGTGTTCGGTGCGAAAATTTGAGCTCAAAAGAATTTTTCATTTTCTACAGTAAAATAATTAGAGTTACTGCAAAATACGTCGGTGATTGTGCTCTCGTATAGAAAAAGAAACGAAAAAATATACAGAACGAAAAAGTAAGGATCCTACAAAACCTTATCGTTGGATTTTGTATGAAGCGCATAAGTTCCTATTATAGGAATCTTATAGGATTTTTACTACCGTTCGATATCACAAATTCTACGGAATTTTTGCCCTAGGATAGGTATGCACCGGTATCGCTGTTCATACCGAAATACCGATACCGACAATACCGAACTTCGGTATATACCGATACCGAAAATACCAACTTTTTTCACTTAGAATTTTTTGGATTTTTTCATTTGAAATGAGATGTTTTAGCGTCCTGGACACCCAGAATGAATCAGGGACGGCAAACAAGAGCTTTGTTTGCTTTCTAAAGCTAAAGTTTTTCTTTCCTTTCTATCTGAACATGCTCAAAATACACAGCTGAGTGTTGTTTATACGTTCTGCTTGTCCAGGATGCTAAAATACCTCATTTCAAATGAAAAAATCCAA